TCCTAGCATAGCTAAATTAAGAGAAGACTGAATTTTACCCCACAGCAGAATTGCAAGCGGTAGGCACCGTGTTAAAAGAACTGCCAGGCAGACTTGTACTTTTGATTAGCTTTTCTCGTAAGCCAGGACTTCTGCTGCTGGGCACCCCTGGCACTGGCTGGCAAGAGGCTGTGTGCTCCTGGGGCCGCTTGCTCCCGGCCTGCCAGGACTCCGGTCTGTCTCTCCACTTGCCACGCTTCCTAGCAGCGAAAGAAGGATCGCTTGACCAGGTTTTACAAGGGCCACGTTACATGCGTTAAACCCTGTATCTGGGCTTTGCCAGGCGTTGGCGTCTTCTGGTGAGTGCTGAACGCTGCCCTAGGCCACTGCCAGAGCAGGCCTGAAGGCCCGGGGGAAGGGCGAGGGGAAGGCAGGGGTGTTCCTGCTGCTGGACGTACCTGGAGATGCCCGCGGCGGTCTGCGCTCTGCAAGGGCGCACACGTTTCAGGAGGTGCTTGCTCTGTGCCCACACCTTCGGGAAGGTGGCAAGCGGGCATTTGGCAAGGGGCGCTCTGGGGGAGGCGATGTGTGCTGCAGCGGCGCTTCCTGGGGTGCAGCTGCGCGCAGGCCTGCAGGCTGCTTGTTTTGCGGCAGTGTCCTCTGAAACACCAACTCTTGCATTTTTCAAACATGAATCGAAGCTATTGTGTCTCTGATGCACCAGGTTTATTTTCATAACACACCTGTAAGTTGAGGTTTTTTCTGCTGTTTAAGAAGTACCACTAAAATAGGCTTATTGCACAAAACCAGGCTCCCTGTTAACAGCAGGTTTATGGCTACTGGCCAATACTGTTCTAATAGTATCTCCTGTTCAAAATTAGCGTTTACATCCAACAAAGGGCTTTAAAAGCAAGTAAATTAAGTACCATGTTAATATAAGTGTTAGAGAAAACATCCGATCTAAAGTTCATTAATACTGAAAAGAAACTTGTGAGGAAGGACTGCATCATACCTACATGTTGCCTGTTCTCTGTTTGGGAAGTATGTACTGTAAACATACAGCAGTCAAATTCCAGCTTGAGAGAACCTGTACAATTGTATTAATGTACGAGAACAAATGTAAAACTTGGATTACTTACTTAAGCTATTCTTTTTAATGTCCAGATGACTTTTTTTAAACATGCAAGAATTAAATCTACAGTTATGGATTAGAGCTTGTGTGGTCCAGAACAGTTCACATCATAAATTTGAGTTATTACAGAACCAATAAAACCTTCCTCTCTAAAACTTGTAAGAACAGGCACCGTCTTCATCTTTGCAAATAATTCTTCCTAAATGTAAAAAAACCCCCAAACCCTACTTTTTCTTGCAAATACTGGCAGCTCTTCCTCAGCTGGTACGTTGTTCCATTCAGTATCTCAGCAGTTCACCAGGTGCCTGTAAGGTTTATTTGCCTGCTGTCACGTGGAGTTTGTTGTACTTCACGTATGAGCGATTCCTGGAGATAAAAAGCTTTTGCAGAGAACGACCACCAGGAGCTCCTTGCTCAAGATATGAGTCTCAATTCTTTATCCCATTTTCAACATAATTACAGCCACAAAATTGAAAAGGAGGAGTGGGAGATCACAGGAACATTTGTAGGCCTAAGAGAGGAGGAGTCAATTACATTGCCTGTCCTGCGCTAGGAAATGCTAGGAAAGCCTCTGTGGGTTTTGGTTTTGTTTCTTTTTTAACCAAAACATTTCAATTTTAGGAGCAGGTCCCTGTTCCTGTTTATCACCCGACTCCTAGCCAGACTCGGCTAGCAACACAGCTGACGGAAGAGGAACAAATCAGAATAGCGCAGAGGATAGGCCTTATTCAGCATCTACCTAAAGGAGTCTATGATCCTGGAAGAGATGGCTCCGAGAAGAAGATCAGAGAGTAAGTTACAGAAACCAAACTGTACTCCTGTGGCTGTTGCATTGGTTTATGATATTGCTCTGGGAAACCTGACCTTGTCCCTGTGTTTTGCCTTCTTTTCAGGGACTGTAATTTAATACAGCTTTCTGAAAAAAAGCCCATGCAGAAGGCTCTTCCTTTTATCCTTGCTTGTTTCCCTGTTACAGGTGAAACTTGCTTTCCCGACCCACATAATTCATGCCCTTAGAGATTTTTTGCCTCTTTATCCTTTCTTCATGGGGAAATAATTTCATGTTACGTCCTCACCTTTATGGCTCCTTTTTACTATTTCTGATGCACTGCTGAGCTGCCCCCGCCATGCCTACAGAAGGCTTCCTGCCCTCGCAAACGTTGTAACCGTGGGCACATACACTACAAAGGAAACACCAAAAAAAAACCCACCCCAAAAATCTAATGCTTGATTCTTAGCACTGACAGAGCTAAGAACTCCTCACAGTATCTGCAAGCACTGAAAGTTTGACTCAAACATACCCAGGAGTAGATACTATGCTACTTTCCGTTTCCAGTGTGGTAACAGCAGCTTAAATATTTTTGTTGTTTTTTTTTGCTTCCCCAGATGTGTCATTTGTATGATGGACTTTGTTTACGGGGACCCTATCCGATTTCTGCCATGCATGCACATTTACCACCTGGACTGTATAGATGACTGGTTGATGAGATCCTTTACCTGTCCATCCTGCATGGAGCCAGTGGATGCAGCACTGCTTTCATCATATGAGACTAACTGAGCCAGGGTTTCTCCACTGAACCTTCAAGGAGACCATCTACGTTAATGGGTTTGATCCTTTTGTCATTCAGCCCAAAGAGCCAGGAATTAGGAATTAAGATCATGCACAAAGTATACATTTCCTAATAAATAAATAAAAAATATTCCTGAATGGCTGCAAATATTGGAAAAAACATAGTATTTTAGAGACTATAGAAAAGTAGGTTGTTATTTTTAATGTAAAGCCTTGACCCACCATTGTCTTTTAATGTTTGTTCTTACACCCATATATAGGAATTGTGTAAAGTGTTACGGCAACTGTAAATGTTTAAACTGCGTGTATCCAATTTTATTAGCAGCAAGATAAGAGTATTTTTTTCCTAAATAAAGTAACCAGTTTTGTTCTGATTCTTTTCACAAGTCCTGGCATTTGGGTCAAGGCTTTATTGAAATCTACATTTTATAACACTGGCACAAAGAAATAGTTTTAAGCTTGTTTGCACAGTTCTTTTTCTTTTTCTTTTTTTCCATTGGAGATGGAATTCATTGCCTTAGGTCTTTTTAATAGTGTATTGTTATTGTTGGGCTGGCTCTATGCTTGAAAACCAGTTTATTTATAACCTGTTAAAAGTGCTATATTTTGTTTGCAGTTAGGAATATGCAGACTTCAAAGTGATCTCCTAGCTTGTAAGCAAACTGAGATGCATTATCCCTTTTCTACAAGTGATGCAGACGATGAAGATCTGGAAACAAGTCCTGCGGTGACATTATGGTTTCATGTTTTTTACAACTTGCTTCGGTTTTGATGGAACAACAGTTCTTAAACTTTAATATGTCACCTTTAACTTGATGAGGTTAAAAGTGGGCCAGAGGGACAACAGTTCAGCTACCTTGACCAAAAAAAAAAATTTGGAACTAATGTAGTGTTAGCGTTGATCACTTATTCTACTTTTTTCTCCCTAAAAATGGTTGTCTTGGATCATAGCAAATGGATACTGCATCTCTCGTTCTTGTAGTTCTTAGGTTATCAGAAGTTAAGAATAAACATACTGTATCTCAGTCTCCTGTATGAAATGTATCTGTTAAGCCCTGCTGGCTGACACATCAGTCCACCAAACAGATAGGAAATCAGGTCTGAGAAAAATATATTTTGTTCTGCAGGTAAATGCAAAGTTTATATAAACACAGACTGTTACAGTAGCAGTTGAGAGGGAAACCAGTACTGCTGTAGCCAGAGTGACACGATTAGCTAACTTCTGTAGCAAACAGTACGTGCTTGTTAAGAGATGATCTAGCAAAGATTGTAGCTGTAAGGACCTTTTCTCCACTTAGTATGGGTTGGTTTTTTTCTTTTTTTTTTCCCTTGACGTACTCTGTGGTGACTTGCATACCTTCAATGCAATGCTGATACCTTGAGCAGCCTTGGTCTGGCAAAAGGAGATGCAGTCTCAACCACAGTAAATCAGGGAATGTTCTTGATAGCTTTTCCTATGTAGTTTGAGTACTTGATACAACAAGTTGTGTTTGAAGTCCCAAGTACTTTGAAGACTCGGTGTATTTACAATCTAGAAGAATTGCGCATGTTATGGATAATTTTTGAAGGGGTGGTCAGCAAAAGGCAGAACCAAAGTGTTGATTGATTTATTATTCCTGCAGTTGACAGCCACCTGCCCTCTTAGAGAAGAATTCCTGGTAGCAGGCAGAAGGAACTGAAAGCAGTCTGCAGTTCTAGATTCACTCAAATTGCTACATGGTTATCTGGACACCATTTTTTGCTGAATTCATACATACCTAGTTACATGGATCAAAATCTGGGAAGAGACCTGAAGTTGTGCAATATCACTGTTCCTTTTCATCATTCCATCTGTGTTCCTTTGTCTCCTCCTTCTTGTCTGTTTGGTTTCGGGGGGTTAGTTTTTCTCCTTTGTTGGTTGGTTTTTTTTTTTTTTTTTTGGTAAAACAGTGTCCACATTAAGTATTAATTTCTTTTCTTGTTAAAACTGGCAAATGAACAATTTGAAAAAAACAGCATTGTTATGTTGCTATTAGTCTTTATTTATTACAAGACTTAATTTAGAAAGATTTGAAAGAAGTATGAAGTGACCAATTACTGAGCTGAATGCTTTTCTAGGCACTTTGTATAGTTGAACTTTTAACACTGATACACTTACCGGGCTAAGGGAAAAGATTACTTTTATTAAAATACTTGTTGAGTAGCAAAAAGGCGCAAAGGGCTAAAACTAGAGTTGATGACACAAAAACATTCCAAAAAGTTCAAATTTTAGCTTAAAGACAAGTATGTAACTATAACAAATAAATCAAATAATTTTTTAAGTTTTTAGGTGCAGTTCTGGATGATTTCTAATTCAAAAAAGTAATTGATCTGCATTTAACACAAAGTAACATGTAACCTGAATTTTACCTACAGCTGTGAAACCAGAGCTGTGTCTTAATTCCACCATCTGTAAGATGCCTCCTGTCTCGGAGGTGTCCAATAAATTACTTCCACTTCCAGCATATTAGACAGTCCATTTACAGCACAGCTGCTTCCTAACCAGAGTCTACTGCAGCTCAGAGGGGAAAGGGCTGGCCAACCAACCCTAGCCCTTAGGCCAGGGCTCTGTGTTTCAGGGTGGACAGGCCCCCAGTAAAACATCTGCAAAGGACTTTGAAGGAAAAAACTACTCTCGGAGCTACTGAGTGTAAGTAACCAGGTTTGGAGATGCATCAAAAATGTTGCTTTCAAGCACTGCATAGGGACTGCGCAGCGTGATGAAAACATTCAGTGAAACAACGCTGTGCTTCAGACCCGGAACTGGCAAACCAACCCTGGCATGGCCGCAGAAAGAGCCGAGTGGAGCATCAGGCTCAATCCTCTGCAAGTTCAGGCAACAACGCCAAGAGACATGGGGTGCGACTGTCCACACTCCCTGGTCGTTGCCAGACACCGCAGCCTCTCACAGCAACCCGCCACCCTATTTAAAGACTAAGCTGCCCCAGAAGCGCCACGGAAACAGAGCAGGTAGGGACCAAGGGCATCGCCAACATCCCAGACATACAGCAGGGAAGGTGTTAGGTTCCAGCTGCAGATTGTAGTAGGAAATGGATTTTGTCTCGTACAACAGAATTTGGGGGTTGGGCTAGTGACCTTTAAAGGTCCCTTCCAACCCAAACTATTCTACGACTCTTAAGAAAACAAGATTCCCACAAATCTGAAGCAAAAGCGATGCAGCGACAAGTAACAAATACTCAATTTTGTAAAGACCTTTATGCTTAAAAATTCTTGCATGCTACTGGAATTACTACTATAATCATTTTCTATCTAAGGATGATAATCCTTATTACTGGCTGCCAGTTAATTATGTAAATCTGAGAGAGAATCATGAAATTCATGTGTGTGTGTATATATATATT